TTCCCTTCTTGTATGATCTTCTTGTATGTTGAGGTATCAATTTCATCCATTGTCTGTTCTATTTTGAGCAATATTTAGATCTTATTTGCTCCAATTCTTTGCAGCGTAGAATAAAATGTTCTAGATCTTCATTTTCCTGTGTTCACAGATTGTACATATCGGGTTTACTTTCGGATCGAACTTAGCTCTTTTGGCTTGTAATATGTACGTTTGAGTACTTATTCTTACTTTTATTTCTCCTGCCTTTACATCTTTACTGTTGTTTTTTACGCTTTTCCATATATTGTGTGCTTCATTTAATGGATTGTTCTGTATCTCTATGTATTTAAGTGATGTTTTTTCCATTTTTCATAATGACATTCATTTTTCCAGTATTCCTTGATCTTTATTCCTACTAGTCTTTTCCATTCGATTTTCTTAAGTGGTTTTTCTATGTAGTAACTACTAGATTTCAAATTGTATTTTGATAGAGCGTTTTCCACTCTGTTGATAAAGTCTTTTCCTCTTTGGTCTGAGAATGCTATTTGTCGACGCAGAATTTCACATAATATATAATTACACAATAGGCCAATTACATTTGGTGCATGGAATTACTACTTGGCGTACCTGTTGTTTGATAGTGTTCATCTTACCTTGACCTAATATGTATTGTTCATTGGTCAATGTTCAGATTTCGTATTCATGTTTGTTTGTCAGATGCTATTCGCAATAGTTGTGCTATATTTGGTGTATGATATGATTGCACGGTGAACATGTCTCTCTGGTGGGTTCCTCGGACCTTTACATTATTTACATTGATCATTGTGATAATGTTAAGTTTATGTGGTGATACTTGTAGTAAAACCTTCATAAAACAGACTTTCAACATAAGTTTAATCATGATAAATAATGTACACTCTCGTCTCTCATATGTGAGTGGTATTTTTTAACAACGATTTCAACTATATGATGGACCTTCTGTCCAACTTTGAAATGTGTCATTTGGACAAAAAAAATTCTCTCCTTAACAAAGTTCATGTGTGCTGACGTGGCAAAAAATCACTACCAATCTATCAAACTTGAAAACTTGACAAAAATACTGCTCAAATATTACAGCGGGTTACAAACACTGACCTTGACCTTTTTTAATTTCTCAGTAAATGAGTTTCCACCTGTTTGAAAGTTCACGGATTTTTCAAGATTCTTTATTTAAACTTTTGAATGTATTCTGCAACAATGTGAAGACCTCTGAATCAGCTTACATACCTTCAACATGACAGCACTATGACCATATGTCTTGCATGTTTACTGGAATACTTTTACACAGAATCGACCAAAGTTGCAAATGGACTCCAACTAAAGTACCGACAAGCTTTATCAAAATGCTACAACTTTTATGATCCCAACCCACCGCATATTTGCACTGAGACCTTTGACTTATTCTATTATCACATACCAGTTCTAGATGTCTGTTTAGATTACACAGTACCTGTATATATGTGTTAAGAATCACAACAGAAGTCACTGTCTCTTTAATAATATATTGACCTTTGGTACTCAGTAACCCTTCCCTTGGCAACCTAAATACTAATGGATCCTTCATATTTATCGGAAATGTACTTCTAAATTTATATGATCATACAAAAATTCCCAAGTCAGTCTGGAAACAGTTTTCAATAAAGTTCCTTAAAATCTCTTGCTCCAACCTGAGACTACTATAACACATGTGTTATAGTAGTCTCAGCTCCAATTCTCCTGTTTTGAAATCAGTGAACATTTGTTCTCCTAGGCCACACTATATCTGTGAACATTTGTTCTCCTAGGCCACACTGTTTTCATATCTGTGAACATTTGTTCTCCTTGGCCACACTGTTGTGTGATTTGCAAAACCCAAACAGATAGAAAAATAACTGTACAGCTCCGGCTTCTTGACAGACTCCTTAAATGTTTCTTATAGCTTGTATTTTTTGGTATTTATATTGATTCAGAAGCACTAATTATCAATGTGAGACACAACAGAAAGTATTGAATTTTTATTCTCTGTTGGTAATTTGAGCACATTTAACGTGGGCATTCCATAAGGTCATGTTTTCTTGTACCTCCAATAACCTTCTTTGAAATCTTAAGAAGTAAGCCAGTCAGTATCGTTACAGTTATCTCAGCTTGCTTCCAGTGAAAGCATTGTTCAATGAATTATAAATGTACTATATTTTCAAGTTTAAGTGAAACGAATATTGTTGATTTGAGTTCATTTTTAAACAATACTCTTTTTCCAGTCTTTAATCACACAGATGCCAAATGAGGGAGGGAGAGTGGGGTCGGGGGCAAAGCAGTCCTAACAGCTTTTATCAAGTCACAATACTGGCATTGTCTCAATTTGATCAAAAGTTGCTGCCTCCTTTTGATTCTATAAATTCAGCACCATAGCATTTGAGCTTTTGGTTAGGTTAATGTTTCTTAAACTTCAGTTTTCTGGGTATATTTTTCAGAGTTTGTTGCCTCTTTACTCTTTTTAGAAAAAAAATTTCATAGTTTTATTTGTCTTTCTTCTTTATGGTTTTTGAGTGCTCCTTGGTACTTTTTTGAAGTAATTTCAGTTGCCTCTTGTTAAATTCATCCAAATTTTGCCTTTTAAAACTTGCCATTAATTTTATGCAATCGTAGGGTAACCTCTGGATTTCTGTTTTTGTTGAGATGTGAGGTTTCTGCCTCGTTGAGTTTCAACACTTATGCTTTTGTTTAGTTTTGGCTTACTTTCATGTGGGAGTTAGTATAAAATCTTATGATTTCATTGGTTTGAGATATTTGTAATTTTCACCTATTTGCAATAGAATAGATTGAAAATCTATAAATCTATCAATGTCACTTTTTTACCTCACAAATTTGTAATAGAGACCTTATACTGTATTCCAATTTGTCTATACAGCCTCTGCGGTTTCGTTATAGCCTGCCCGCCTCAAGTGCAGAAGGTTATGAATTCGAACCCCAGCTTGGTCAAACTAAAGACTTGAAAATTGGTATTTGCTGCTGTTCCTTTAAGCAGGTGGCATTAAGGAGTAAGAGCAAAGACTGGTAGTAGTCAGAATAATCATCAGCAATTTGTTTTGCCAAAATATAGAAGAAACAGCTTATCTTACAGTAAAGATCATTCCTTATTGGAGAAGACGATACATTGACCTGTCAATTCATAGATATTTCACTTTATACTTCCTACTGCAACCATCCTATTTGCACAGTAAAATTATATGGAATGTAAATATTGCCTGGTTTGTAACATGTATTGAATTTCATTGATGATGTTAGCAAGAAATAATTCACAGTTCTGATCAAAAAATATTTGTTTTTTAAGCATTGCAGTAGAAAGGGAATAAAACAATATATTGTCTTGGATATAAAACTGATTTTTATTTGAGCATAAACAAGGATAGAAATTCTAGGCAAACCTTGTTTGTAAGTCTTGTAAACATAATTTGTTTATTCTGTGCCAATATATGGTTATTCGATATTTTTTAATACTGCAGCCTGAACTTCTCCAGTGGTTCTTACGTTCTAAATATAAAAACAAAGTAATATTTTGTGCAATTTCAGTTTAACGTAATCATTTTTTTAACACTCAGCGACTCAATTAGGGAATTGGGTTTATTTTAGTGTAAACAATACAATGTCTTCTATTTCAGCCTTTTATAGCTGCTGTATAAAAACAATAAAAAATCAATATCTGTAACTACCAACATTTCTTATTAAGCACTTAACACTAGCACTAGCATGTGAAAAATCTGGTTCAGCATGTCAGTCTAATACATAGCAGTAATAATTTTCTACTGCATACTGCATAATGGTAACACACACACACGTTCATATTAGTATGGCATTCACATGCTCTCTTTCTGAATATGCATTTAATTTGCCACTGGATGTTGAACAGCCATCCATCCATACATGAAAGCATTATACTTTTGAATGGAGCAAATAAACCTTACCTCCCTTTAGTTTCTAAGACCCTGTTCACACTAGGACATTTAGATCAATTTAAACTAGATCGGTTCACTTTAGATCGATTTAAGGGCCAATTTGAACGTTTTGAATCGATCTTCAATCGGTCTAAACTAAAACACCAAAAGAGGTAGTTTAGTTTGAATCGATCTAAAGTGAACCGATCTTACTTTAAATGTGAAAGCAGAGATCGGTTTAAACTAGTATGATTGAATTGAAAATAATGTATGCGCATGTATAGCGGCACAACTATATCAATGGTTCGTTGTTTAACCCATATTTCTCTGTTAACAGACCTTTGTGTACATGCATGTAAAAACAAACTGAAAACATGTTGTCTATGCTGTAGCATAAATTTGCGAAAACTGTGTCTTCTTTTTTTAATTGATTTTTTCTTTTCAGGAACCGCAGTATTTCGTCATGTTGTAACTTTGTTGCTACAGTTTTTTGTTTCAAAATCAAAGAAAACTGCAAGAACACCAGTATCAAAATTTGAACTTGTGATTCAAGAGAAACAATAAATTCAGCCAATTTTTTTTTTCAAGTGTGTGTATCAGTGTATCAATACATCAATTTGATAAATTAGTACTATTTATACACAATGTTTACAGTTTTACGGGTAATAAGGTCAGATCAATTGCATTTTTAATTGTAGTGTGAACGCACTGGTTCAGATTAGACCGATAGAGATCGTTATGATAAAAGATAATGTGAACGCTAACTGGTTTTATTTAGATTGAATCAAATTAGATCGTTTAAAGAAAAATGCTAGTGTGAACTAAGCCTTACAGAAAGTTTTTCATTTTCTAACATTAACCTTATACTGTAAATTTCCTTTTGTTTCAGTGGATAGTTGTCTTATTGCTATCAGAAGATAGTTGTCATCTTTGCTATTAAGTAAATATTTTTCAAAACATTGTCTTGAGAGTACCTGCTGATTTCAATCCCAAGTCTTAGTATCTTTTGGATATTCCTAATTCTTTTTTATGTTGTTGTTTTCGTTTCACCTGGGGACATATAAAAATAAGTGTACTTCGATCAGATTTATTTTCAAACTCTAAAAATAACATTTGAACATTTAACTGTTCATCCATCACTAACGAAAAATAAAATTTCAAAATGCTAACATTCTGTGGAAGTTCACACAGAATATCTAACTTAAAATAAATTCTGATTATAATTTCATTGAGCTTATTCTGTGAACTAAAATATTTTTTATTGGCTTTTTTTTACACATATATTTCAGGTCTATTCATATAAAACATACAACAAATTCTTGAAGAAAAGAAGGAAACTTTTTTTCTTTTTTTAACTTGGGCTATGGCAAATATCAATATTTGGTTTTACTTTTTTAAAATATTAGTTAAGAAGCAGAAAATATCAGGTTTTATTTTTTTTAAATAACCAAATTTTATTCAAAACTGTATGAAAATAATTCAACTATTTGAAATTTATTTAAACTGTAAGTTAAAACAAAAAACAATAGCTAAATTCAAATGATTTAAAAATTTGCCAAAAAATGTATTCTTCAGTATAACTACATAGTTTTTATTGAAAATTCATTCTAAAATTCACTGAATCAGTAATACATGTACTGTACAAATAATTTGTGCATTATGATAAAACAAGTCCTTGTATGAATTGTTATTCTAAATGCTCCTTAGATGAAGTAGTATTTCAAAAACAATCTCATTATTGACAATTTTCATAGAAGTTACAGTCACACTGAAGAAAACACATCCATTGATAAACAGTAATAATTTGGTACAGATTTTGGCAGGCACTACCAGATTGAAATGCTACTAATATGGTCTTAATTATGCTTAAATTTAATTTTCAATAGAACATTATTACGAATTTGATGATTAGTTTGAAATCTTATTTGTACTTCAGATTGATTATCTATAATTAAAATCTAACATTAAAAATGGTTAAGTTTAAATTTCTTTTTTAAATGTGAATTAAAAAAATTCAATATTGAAAATCAACACATTATATTAATTTTGAGAGTGAAATTTCATTTGTTTCATAAATATGATTTCTACACACTTGTGAAATATATATGTACTAAATATAATTCAACATTTGAATGTCCTAGATAAACATTATTCTTGTCAAAAATAATATCACCTGTATACTTTAATCTCACTATGGTTGGTACAAAAAGGCCATACAGGGGGCAATCCACTAATTATCTAGACCGATTTTAACAGTGATCGAAAGTAGTGCTAAAATAATCCATAAGTGCTAGTATTTTGTACGACACCAATTCATCAACCATCTTATTGTCTCTCAATAGGCAAAGGAGGATAAAAATAAAGAAGTTACTACTTTATTTTTATTTTTATTTTGCTTACAGAACCTGGGAAACTTTTCTTTCAGCATGAGACTCATCAAATTCTTACACAGGACATTTTTAAGATACTTTAGGTGTAATATGGTAATGTTTTGGCAGCAATATTTGAAATTTAATTATTTTTCTTATTTGGTAATGAATCCATTATAAAAAATTATTTTTATTGTAAAGTACTAAATGTTATATATGAGCATTATCACAATACTGGGAAAATTCAGGGTTTTTTTGAGAAGTTTTTGAAAATTTGCATAAATAACATTACACTAAACTTGATGACTATTTAGTGGAGTGCCTCCTACAAATTTCCATGTAATTATGTAGCTGAAAGAGACTCTTGCAGGATCTGTTTAATTCATAATTTAATAAGACAGAATTAGATTTAAGTCTCCAATATTCATAATGAACTTATATTCATAGATAAGATTTTATTTTATATTTTACCATTTTGCTCTCATGTATAAATGACATCTTTTATCTTTATATTATATATCACAATTCTTAGTAATTACATTGATACAAAACCCACTGAGACAGATATATAAATAAACAAAGTATTTATCAATGAACTTAACCGGAAAACTATTAAAATTGCTAATCATTATCACAGATACTTTGTAACAATAAACACATAGAAAATTATAAAAATAAATTAATAATTACAATGATTTATGTATATTTAAACCTAGGGCAGACAGCAATACACATCATGTGAAAAAATATTAAGCAAGCATCATACGTCTACAGTTTTCAAAACTAGCTAAAGAAGTCTACGTTTAACAGATAAACTACAAACAGTCATTAACGACAACAGAAGCCAGTACCTTTGTTTTAGAAACCTGAAGACCAATATCTATTAAAGAGTCATAATTTAAATTCTGTAAATATAGAAAAAAAATTGTATCACATGAAATAATACAATATGGATATCTTAAGAACACTGTTATGAAACCCAAAACCAATGTATTATAATTTATAGAAATATAGAATATTTAAATGCATCAATATCACACTGTGGATTCATTTATTTTCTTGGGTACCAGTTCGCCATTAAAGAATCTAATGCATTTTGGGTAACATTTTAAAAGTGTACACCAAAACGTTGTGATTGGTTTAAAACATACTCAACAACTGAAATTTAACCAATGACGTAACGTTATTTTCATTTTGGTGTACAAACTATGAGATTACCCATAGTCCTTTAGAGTCTGAAAAGGCGAATTTTTGAAGATTGCATGTGGAAAGATTGTATTATAGTGGATACATGATTTCGTGGTTTTGCCAAAGTTTGTTTGTATACAAGCTTATAAGACTATATGTGTACTTTGTTAAACATTTGAATTCATGGTTCACCAAGGGAATCTCATTGGGGGGTTCTGATCCCGGATCCCACTTACTGTTTTGTCAGATTCCCGTATCGTGCTTACACTATGTACGTAAGCAATTCTCATTTTTTTTGTAATCTCCCGTGTCCCGCTAGACTTCATTTCCAGTTTTCATGGCACAATAATTTGACTTTCACGTGTCACGCTTACAAAAAATCGGCAATCCCGGGTCACGCTTAGACCCCAATGGGACCCACCACCAATGCTCACAAAATTCCATGATAATTGGTACCCCACAAAACATAATGTATCCACAGAATCAAAAAATCATTAATTCAATCTTAAGTAATACAATGATGTCACAAAAAACATCATGTTTATGATATATGAGAACATTTTGAAGTACCAAGAAACATGATTTTGGTAATTCGCAAATGTACAGATGTTTACATGAAGAAAAAGAATAGTATCTAATGAAATGCAATTGCACCAAGTCACACAACTAGCTACACAATTAAACATGAGCAAAACTTTCTGAAAGATGTGTTATGAGTGAAAAGTAATGTTATGATTTAGTACACAGCAAACTGTATAGACTATAGGACTGAAGATATAAACTACAAATTTTATGATTGAAAATAATATTTGATTATCACCATATTAATGTTCATATATGAGGGTCTGGATTTGGGGTTGGGGTCTTCATTTCTGTATTCTGAAATCTGTCAGGCCGTTTTTTCTCTATTCTTTCTTATAATTGCCCATTATTTTCTATTCTAAAGTTTTGGCCCATTTCTCTAATTTCTTTTTTCCCATTATTCTTCATTTTGTAAACCCCATCCAGAACCTCATATATTTATGACATATAACCTAATGTTATGCACCCTTTTTTTTTTCTTTTACAATCTGTAGTCACATTAATTGTTAAACTCAGTCTGGTTTTCTAAACTGAATTCAACTATTTCTAGTATAAATGAAATAAATGCATTGGAGATAGTAAAATATAAACAAGTCCAACATCACTAAGTAAGTGTATCATGTGCAGTACTTAAAACTAAGCTGTTCTGAACTAAATGAGTATGCCCAAGCCATATCGTTCAACATATACAACTTCCCCACGAATCTAACTTTATTTTAGTCATTTACTTATTCATAAAATCAAATTTCTACAATTAATTTCTAACATATTGAAAAAAAATTCTTCCATTGTTTTGCTCATTTCAGATTTTTGACAATATTTATTTCTGAATTGAGTAAAAGAATGATGTATAACCTTAATAGTGTTGAACAATATTGTTGCCTTATGTTTCTAATCGTTGAAGTTCATCCCTGACATATTTGACCATGTGGTCTTCACTTCCCATGCTAGGTCCTTGTTTTGGACTCTCGTCAAAAAAGTCATCATCTTTCTTATTTTCCGATGAGACACTATTACGTTTTTCTTCCTGTATATGTCCATCCGACCACAACTGATCAGCTGCCGATTGTTGTGATGTAAATCCTCTTGGTGAAGACCCTCCATCTCGTGCATCACTATGCTCTCTAGACTCCATTTTGTATCCATCATTTAATTTTTGAGAATTTTTGGCTAAAGAAAATGCATCATCTAAGAGTTTTTCTCCTTCTTTACGTTTTCTAGAAACAGTGCTATCAGCATTTAAGTATGCAAGGTTGACAATTTCTCTAGCTTTTTCCTTGGCTTCCTGATCTTGGAGATACCGTCTACGATCCTCTCGCTGTTGTTGAAGTAGCTGCTGACGTCTATTTAATATCTCTATCAAATCCTGAAATATATTTCAAAGATGTTTACGGTATAAAAATAAGGAGGTGTGGTATGATTGTCAAAGAGACGTAAATCCATCAGAGTCCAAATGACATGGATGAAAGCAACTATATTGTTTATAACTGGTGTAGTTCTATTTCAATTTTTAATGCCTTTAAAATGTTTAAGTTTATCATAATTGACATTGCTATATAAGAGCCGAAGAAGACTCAGTTATAATCAGATCGCCAAAGAATATTCCAGTATTCAACTGACTATGGAAAATTCTTTTAAAGAAATTGTTTTTTTCATGTAAGCAGAGTAAACAAACACAAGTTGCAAGGGAAATAATTCTTTTTGATTCGTACAAGTAGAGTGTAAATTGTAAAATTAAACAAAACTAATTCTAAAGTAAAAAGCTGATAAAGGATTTTTCTATTTTGCCTATTATTGTATTACCCTTAATTTTTTTTTTAAACCAAAAATTCAATTACAGTGGTCATACATTTGTAACTAAATAAGCATTTCATCAGCAACATTTTGTCAGACTTAATTTCCCGCTTCATGTGCACACAGATATTCAATTAAAATCGGGGCAGTTTTCTATTTAGTCCACTGAATAGCTATTTCAATTTAAATCAAGTATTTAAATAAAAGACATGAATTCACAGTAAAATGTCTGAAGGTTTTAGAATGAATATTTTGAATATTTAGTCAATACATTCACTTTATTAGACATTTCTAATATACAAATACAGGTGTACAGATAACATGACCTGATAAATGTATAGTATACGTTAAAGTCTCCTGAGCCAACGGTTATATCGAAATTACTGTTTACATCACATTTCAATTTTGGGTCCTCTTCACTGTCCATTTATTCAAAAACAAATTCAACATTTGGGAAGTTAAAAAAAAAAACATTATGTTTAAGTGTAAATGTTAATTTGCAAAGTAAAATCTATATATTCTTACATTTTAGAAATATATATAATGTATTTGTACTCGCTTATCTCATTGTTTCTAAAGCTCTTACAAATAAATTATATATTTTCCTACAAATGTACTTATATTATATATTATATGAAGTATGGACTTCTTAAAAGTCACTAGTTGGGGGCATGTCAGGAGAACAGAAATGGTATAAGAAAGAATTACATATATTTAGTTCCTACCATAGCTGTAACTTTTAACAAAATATATGAAATATTTGGGTAACTATGGTCTGAATTGAAAGCTTAAGGACCTGGGATCACTGTTGAACTGTAGTTGAATGTTTGTATTGAATGAGGGGCCTGATGGGGGGGTCTCATCACGATTCATCAGTTGATTTTTTTGTCAATCACGATTCACAGAAAATAAATTTCCATGATCACGGATCACGAAAATATAAAAAAAAAAAAAATCTGTAGAAAAACGGATCACGATAGCGAAAATGCGCCGATCACGAAGAACGAAATTAACCCATCAGGCCCCTCTTGAATGAAAAAAAATTATATGAAATTGAAATAGAAGGGCAAATTTTGTCTTTTTATCAGATCAGAAGTACTGCTAAACTTTAAACAAATTTGCTATGAATGCTACAAATTGGGGAATTTAGCATAAAAAAACAAAATATATTGTGACACAAATGACAGGACATTTCTGCTGAAAAACTTCATGCTTTTGTGATATATTATATAGTGAGTGCCTATAGATATGCAACACATCATATTTCAAGCCCCGTTTGATCCCTTTTTGAATAAAAATAATAAAATTTTCTTTCAATGTATTCCTCAAACATTTGGCTATATGTTACTTTAACAATCTGGTCCAAAACCAAATCTCACAAATTTTCCATCTAGATGTAATCACACTGGATGAAATATAAAGGAAAATTGTTCATCTGCATTACATTTTGATAATTAGGGGTTCATTATGGTAGAAATTTGACATCCAAACTGTAAATAAAATATTTTGTAAAAAATGTAGACATTTTTAAACATTAAAATCTAAAATCTACAAGTTCTGAAAATTGCTGGAAATATTCCCTATGCATTCTTCAAAACCATAGAATGATTGATCGATTTCTAAAGAAGATCTGTCAGTTTGAAATTTATTAGAAAATACATGTAAGGGTTGTGTAACGATTAGTGCTCAGTATATATTATGTTAACAAGGTCTGACAAAGAAATACGCTTTTGAGGTAAAAGTTGAGTCTAAAATAAGTGTACAGAACTTTTTGATAGAACAATTGGAATTCACATCACAGAACAAAATACCTAATTTTAGATACCAAAGTAGTTTTACTGAGCAAGTTCATACAGAAAGTTTTATTTACACAAAAATGATAATATCAAGAAAAAGATCAATTCATTTCACATCAATTTTGACAACGAAACGTCATATATAAGTTACAAAGTGAAGGGGTTAACTAACTAGTAAAAAACTATCAAAAATGTGCTTTGAAGCAATCATTTTTCTTCTCAGATAGTGACTAATAATATCAAATATTAAAAGTCATTAAAAATTGGAATGAGTATCATATCTTTATATATTGGTTTAAAAAGAATTGTCTACAAACTTTGGAAAGAGATGTCGAGCTGAAATATTTTTAATGCATTTTTCTGTAGATCAAGAGGTATTTCTAAAACACTAAATAAACATTAAAAAGTCTCTTCGAATTCAATAACAAACAGGTAATTGTAAAAAAGTTTCCCAAAATAATTCTTACACAGTTTCAAAATTTTGAATTTTGGAGCTCAAATACAAAAAAATCAAAATTTGACAATCAAATGGAGAAGGTATGCTTTTTAAGGGCTAAATTGACCTAAAAGCAAATGTATTTCAAATTTCTCTAAATTTCAGAACCAAACGTTGACTCTATGAACCTCAATTAAAATTTGCAGTTTTCTTTTAAAATATACCCTTTTCATGGGTTATAGTGACCATAATACAGTCATTATGTGACAGTAAATTCGGTAAAATGTCAAAATTATGCAAAATCCAAACTATTTGACTTGTTAGTGAAAGCAAAATAATTGCCTGAAAAATAATTTTGCATGTAGTTTCCATGGTAACCAAAGCATAAAAAAAAATCAAAGTTATGTTATTTAATATATAGTAGGTCTTTCAAATTTATGTCTAAATTGTAAAAATCTGTAACCATGCATTTCAAGCTAATTTTGGTCTTTACAGATAATTGCTTTTAAACAGTTTGTGAACTTTGTAAATTTATGAATGGTATTCAATGGAAAAAAATTGCACCTGACACTTGTGCTCTATATTAATCTAGCTAACTACTGTAGTTCTTAAAAAATTATAATATAAAAATAAGGAGATGATAGCCAATGAGACATTTATTCGTCTAGTTTTCAGGGATGTAAGCAACTAGATGTCACCCTACAGGCCTTAACAATGATCAAAACCCATACCGTAAAGTAGCCTAATTTTGATTCTAATCTTGCTTATAACGTCACAGTCAAATTGTGTCATCAAGGATTGGATAATATTGCCCTTTTCTGAAAGCCATTTTTGATGCTTAAAAAAATGGAATAGTAATGGTATCACACAATGTTTTATTTTCAGTGAATTGACAGGACCAATAATTGCCCCTAAATGTACCTTCTCTTTTAAAAACTTCCTCTTAAGGCTATGTCTTTCATCTGTTTGGTTTAATAATATGAAATTTTTAGGATTTTTCCCTTCTATAGGAGCCAAGAAAACTTGGACAAAAATTTTCCTTGTAAAATTTCAAACTATTGGAAAACAGGAAGTGGATACACAGCAGATGTAAAAATTGCCTTTTCCCTACATCTCAACATTATTAAGCTGCATACCAAATATTAAATCATTCCTTTCTATAGGAGCTGAGAAAAACTTTGACAAAATTTTTCTTGTAAAATGAGTGTTTTAAAATTTCAAACTATCAGCAAACAGGAAGTGGACAAATAGCAGATGTAAAAATTGCTTACTCTCTACAACTCAGCTTCATAAAGTTGCAGATCAAATTTTAAATCATTCCCTTTCACACAAGCCAAGAAAACTTTGACAAAAGATTTTTTTGGATGGACAGTCCAGCAGTTACTGGACCTGCTTCCGCCTTCGGCAATGCAGGTTAAAATTTACATGAAGGGCAACTGAAAGTCCAAGGTGACCTTATTTCTATACCCCAGTCACTTTTGGGGTAAAACAAAATTAATATGTATTGTGTAAATGCAAAATACAAAATATAAATAAAACTAGAGGCTCTCAAGAGCCTGTGTCGCTCACCTGTATTTACTGATGCTTTGGAAATCATGTAAAATAAGGTTAAAATCATAATTAGTAGTATTAGATATTAGATATTATAATGATATCTAAGATAATAACAAAAAACTGCAAAATTTCTGTAAAATTACTAACTCAGGGGCAGCAACCCAACAACGGGTTGTCGGAATCGTCTGAAAATTTCAGGGCAGATAAATCTAAATCTGATGAACATTTTTGCCAACTGTCAGATTTGCTCTAAATGCTTTAGTTTCAGAGATATAAACCAATAACTGCATTTTACCCCCCATGTTCTATTTTTAACCAAGTCGGCCATGATGGTTGGAAGGCGGGGTCATCGGACAAATTTTTCAAACTAGATACCCTATTTATGATTATGGCCAAGTATGGCTAAATTTGTCTTAGTAGTTTCAGAGAAGAAGATTTTTGTAGAAGATTACAAAAATTTACGAAAAATTGTTAAAAATTGACTATAAAGGGCAATAACTCCTATAGGGGTCGACTGACAATTTTGGTCATGACGTTAGTTGTATATCTTACTTTGCTGAACATTATTGCTGTTTCCAGTTTATCTCTATCTATAATAATATTCAAGATAATAACCAATAACTGCAAAATTTCCTTAAAATAACCAATTCAGGGGCAGCAACCCAACAACAGGTTGTCAGATTTGTCTGAAAATTTCAGGGCAGATAGATCTTGACCTGATAATCAGTTTTACCCAATGTCAGATTTACTCTAAATGCTTTGGTTTCAGAGATATAAGCCAAAATCTACATTTTACCCCTATGTTCTATTTTTAGCCATGGTGGCCATCTTGGTTGGTTGGCGGGGTCATCGGACACATTTTTCAAACTAGATACCCTAATGATGATTGTGGCCAAGTTTGGTTAAATTGGTTAAATTTGGCCCAGTGGTTTCAGAGGAGAAGATTTTTGTAAAAAGCTAACGATGACAGACGACAACGACGGACGCAAGTGATGAGAAAAGCTCACTTGGCCCTTCGGGCCAGGTGAGCTAAAAAAGCTATAAAAATCTATCATTTTAAAAATAAAGAGGTGTGGTATGAATGCCAATCAGACAACTATCCAGTAGAGACCAAATGACCTGGATTTAACCAAATGTAGGTAGCCATAAGGTAAGCTATAAAAGGCCCAGACATGACAAAAAGTGTAAAAATTCAAATGAAAACCAACAGCCTGATCTGAGCTAAAACAATTGTACAAAAATCAAATATGACCGACAGCAACCAACAACAAAAACAACTGAATTACAGGCTCCTGACTTGGGGACAGGCACATAAAAGATGTTGCAGGGTTAAACTTGATGCTGGTTATACCAACATGATCTACTTATAATATTGGCAGCAATGTTGGTTTATGATGACTTTATCTGCAAGAATATAACTCAACCTTGAAACTAAACAGCCGAATAATCAGTATTGCTAAATTTGGCTAAACACGATCTAGTGTTTTAAGACATAAAGAATTAAAAAGTTTATTGATGAATGGACTGATGCCTAGTTAACAGCAATACTGATCTCACGGACCACATGAGTTAAAATCATACTAGCAGAAAAATATTCTATTCAAATCAAACATATATATCTATTCTAAATAAATATTGGATATAATTTAACTATTTTAATACAATCTTTATACTAATGCACTTTTTACCTTCTGAGATGTAGCAAACATCTAAAATAAACAAACATGCAGCATATAATAAAAGACGGGACTCAAATTTAAATATAATATGCCATTCCAAGAAAAAATTATCATCAAACTCTATCAGCATTTATATTATAAGATATAATTACTTAAGACCTTCACTAATATCTATCAAATAACCAAAATGATGTCTCTCCATTCTTACAAAATACTTTTCTGAACCAACAGCATCAACATCATCATGCAAAACTAACTTAAGTATCATAACTTCCATATTACCATGCAATAAAACTTAAAACCCATGAAATTCCAGCACATGCACTTGTATAACATGCATATACTGGTACCTGAGTAGGGTGTTGTGGAGAAATAGATGACCCCAACAAAGGTCTGACCTCTGACTTTGGTTCAGGGTCACTAGGCTTTTGTGGTAAATGAGTATTGTGGAAATATTCTGTGACTGCATCTTGAGGACGATTATAATCTACTTCTAATAAAGGCTGTGCACTTGATTCATCATGCTGAATTAGTTTAAAAATAAATAAAATGCAGCTGTCAATGATATCTTCTGTGAATTCACTAATATTTGTGGGCTAAAAATGTTCATTGATTTCGTTGGTATATGTATAAAAGGAATTTAAATATTCAACGAAGTACAAATTTTCTATAGGCATTATGTATCCATACTTTGTCAAAAACACAAAATCAAATTTCCACTAAAAATGTAATTTTTTTCTCAGCCCATGAAAATAAATGAATCCACAGTATTCTATTCTTCATATAGTTACATGTGTTACTGTGGATTCATTTATTTTCGTGGGTACCAATTTTCGTGGATTGAGGACAAAATATATTTTTGAGAATATTTGATTTTGTGGACTTGCAAAAGTTTGTATAGAAGCCTATATACAATATATACTTCGTTGAACATCTAAATTCGTGGTTAACCTATACCCACGAAATCAGTGAATATCCAACGAATAATACTGAATCCACAGCATCATAACTTTTAGGCAATTACTTTGAAAAGTGTTTTATTATGAAATACCAAATGCTCCATTTCCCAGTAATTTACCATTCCCTTCGGGTATTTTTTAACTGTTTTCAACGTTACTTAAGAGTAAAACTTGGCATTGTCCATTTATTTCTTATTTGTTTTCTCTGAAGAATTCATCAGATATATTTTGTTTACACAATTTTACTTTGAAATACAATAATCAATTGTTTTATCAGTAAAAAGGACTAATTTTAGCTTTATCTTGACAGTGAAAATATCTTGAAATTGCTTCTGTTTCAGCTATTAACTGTCTGAGAATTCTATAACATGCAATATGTGACTGTCAATTTTGGCAGACAAGTTGATATTGGAAACTTTTACATGTGATGTGCAATAAATGGTAATTACAGCTGTCTATGTATGGTGTATCTACATCTGCTAAAACATTGTCACTTAGAAAAATAATTTACAGCAACTAATAAAGGATAAAATGACAGAAATACCATTTTCAACACTCGTAATGTTCTTACATAATACAAAACTTGAAACAAATCTATAATTGACTTTTTGTTCTCCCTTCAATCATTCAATGCATATAAATGCACACTCATTCTTCAAACTGTTCTTTAAAACGATTTTGATGTATATGTAAATGAAATATGACTTTAGATTTTTATAAAGAAATAGTTGAGGGTGTGGATGGGGGTTTACAGAATAGAGACTAATGGGCAAAAAATATAAAGAATAGAGAAAAATGGACCAAAAAAAAAAAGAATAGAGAAAAATGGACCAAAAAAATAAAGAATAGAGAATAATCAGGTGCTATAATATTAAGAATAGAGAAATATAGCCTAAAAATTAAAGAATACAGAAATGAAGGACCCCCATCCAGACCCTCATAGTTGAATTTTATGTAAAATGTAATGGATTGTTGATAATGAATGTTTTTTCACAGAACTGTCATGATATAAAGGCTGACACATTGGCAGGGGTCCATTACAATTATTTCTAAGAAAATGATAAAATGTTCTCATTTTAATATAGGTCTTACATCTTGATACATGTTATTTTTCTAAATTATTGCTAATTAATTGAGTTAAAAAAACAATTTCAAGTAACATTTGAAAATCCAAACTATCTTTTGTTTGAATCAGAGTTATGATTTATGAAAAATAGTTTTAAAAATTCAATGTTTGCATCAAAGATCACAAAAAAGTTCAAATAAAAAAAATAAATGGAGAATGTGTCTATGGGCCACAGATGCCCCAGCTTGTAAATATGCATGAGTCAACTTCCACATACAGATGCAGGATTCACGTCGTTAAGACTGTTTTGTGATTATAAGCATTGTGTATAAGTTTCATAACATTTGGTTGAGGCAAACTAAAAGTTGGAGAACGGAAACGACAGATTTAGCAATTTTTCCATTTATAAAGGGCATAACTCAGGAACGGTTAAAGTGACGCAACCCAATTTCGAACTTGATCTGTGTTTTGTGGTAATACGCATTGTGTATAAGTTTTATAACATTTGGTTGAGGCAAACTAAAGTTATAGAACAGAAACCAAATTTTGGGAAGTTCAGGACGGACATACGGACAAAGGGTAATACTTAATGCCCCCTCCGCTACAGCGGGGGCATAAAAATGGTCTTGTAAGCAGCAACCATGTTTTCAGATCATACTGTGACATGCAAATATTCACTCTTGAACGCTTTTTGTTGCAGGAGTGCTGGTGTTTACCCAAAAACTCTTTTTATTCATATAAGTGAAGATAGTGATTAAAGTAATTGCACAGATTTATAGGTTAAACAATAATTCCATCAACCTGTGATGATACAAACCTTATTGGTAGTATTACGTTGTGACATTCTGACTCCATCTTTAGAATCGATCCTTCTTGGAGCTGCCCTCATGTTACGTCCTAACTTCATTTCATCCTGGAAAAAAAAACCCCAAGTCCTATTTTATATATATTCATTAATAATTCTTTAAGTATCAAAAGCAAAGACAAAATACCAATTATCTATTGAAGGGGTGCATTTATTTATATTCTTTCTTTCATTTCTTATTTGTTTATTTTGAGGGCGGGGGGGGGGGGGGGGGGCGGGGAGGTGTAGAAGGATTCAAAATTCAAAACATATTCCATTCAATTCGTCAAATCTTGTCCAATACAACAAATATTTTCAAATCTTCATATCAAAATTTTAAGAATCATTATTACACTTTCATACAGCACAGACTATAAGTTATCTACGTTCATATCTACGGATATGAACGTAGATAACGAATTTATCCCCGGTCTTAGTCTAAATCTGGCGATTTTTAGAGAAATTCAACCACAAAGTTAAACGTGAAAGCAACGTTTTTTTTCATTTTTTAAATATCTTCTATTGAAATTTGGGAATTTGACATATTTTTAACGGGGTGTAGGGTACTACCTTTGGTAGAACCCTACAGGTAGACAAATATAAGATGTTTTTAAACTAGAGACAGAGAAACTGAAATGGGTCGAATTTGGTGCGCAATGTTGTGAGAGTTACATCATAAACGGTGTGACGTCAACGTGGGTCATTTGCATAGCTAGGTCAGTAGTACCATCCATTGAAAATGTGGCTGAATAGTGATGCATTTACTTAAGTGAGTGCAAATAATCGATATAATAAGATAAAATCGTTAGTGAATTAAATATTTAAGTATACAGACATCATGGAAAATCTACAGAATTCGATATTTCATAAGGAACAACCATGGAACTAAGGAAAACGCGCGTGAAATTCCCCGATGTAATGGGTAGCAACGTCCGGGGATATGGGTTAGCAACACCCAGGGGCTATGGGTTTTGTAACGACGTGCGTTAACCAATCAGAATCCTAGAAATATACTAAGCCGGGGATAAATACGTTTAAAGGGGCATATTAGCTACCAGATATAAAAAAAATAATTGAAATATGATTTTTTTTGTTCTATCATTAATGAAAGTGAAAGTGTGAAATAATAATTCACTTTTAGAAGTCAGTTTGGTTTAATTTTGTCAAAATAAGCTAAGAAAAATCACTGATGACTTATTTACTTGCAAAGGAATAATTCGAGCTCCCTGAATCCGTATTCATGTGACCTTCAATTTAATCCTTAGCTAGAGATGGGTTACGCATGAAATAGGCATGTTCAGTTATTAAAAGGAAAAGAATGTGAAACAAGGGTAAACCATTTGATTGACTGATTCCATCCACAAAAACTCATTCTTGTACAGGTAAATAGGATGATTAACATATACTGTAAATTCAGAAATTATTGCGAGGTTTTTGTTAATGCAAATAATGCCACTGGGTGAGTATCACAATAATAAGAACTCGCATTCTGATATCTGATACATATATCTGTATGCAGATTTTCCTGAAATCGCAATAATTAAACTCACATTTTTGTCTATTCTTCAACAATCACAATAATAAATGCACGCAATAATTTCTGAATTTACAGTATTGTTAACCTATAATATGAAATCAAACAGACCTAGAAAAATCCAATTGCACGAGTTCACTATCTCTTTATATCTAGATATGTTTATGTTTATATCGTGTTATATGACTGTTTGCAGTCTTCGGAGGTCACCTTGATGGTTAATTAGATGGCGTCTAGACTAAAATACACACCAAATGCTGATACATATTATCTAGCCCATGCATTGTAAATTGTTTATTGTAGACTTTTTATAATTTGGATATACGTTTTAGTATGTTATAAATCAAATATGAGAATTTGAGTCAAATCGGTGAGCATGAATTTGACAGCTAATGGTTTCTTTATACAAAAGCCGCATCTACAAGTATGTAACTAAGACAAATGTAATAATTTCCCTTGTTGCTAGATATCTCTTCACTTTGTGATGAAGCCATATATGTTGTCTCCTTTTTTTCTATTGTAATTTATTTTGGAAATTGATATTCAATTTATCAAATGTATCAGTCATCATACTTTTTCATTAATGTCTTCTTCTATTTGTGTTTCAAAACTTATTCTATAGAGCATACCAAAATGGAAGCTAATCCAGTATTATGTAATGTGCAAACATAAATCGTGAGTGATCATAAATGTTTATCCAACATCCACTTCACATTCATATAATTGTAAAACACCTGTCACTTCATTGAGAACTATATGATATAACCAATTTGAAAGTAACTGTACAATTTAAAGGCTTGTTTTGGTATCCATTGATGCAGTCTTTATGCTTTACCATTACAAGAAAACTTTTAAGGGGAGGGTTTAATGTAACCAGTTAACATGTTTAACTCCACCATATTCTGCATGTGCCTGTCCAAAGTCAGGAGCCTGTAATTTAATGGATGTCATTTGTTAATGTAAATCTTATTTGTTTTTCGTTTATTGTATTATACATAAATCAGGCGTTATCTCATTTAAATTATTTTACATTTCTCATGACAGGGTCTTTTATAGCAGACTATACAGTATGGGTTTTTCACATTGTTGAATTCCATACGGATGCCTATAGTTGCTTACATCTACTTCCTTTGAATTCTGGTGGATAGCTGTCCTCATTTACTACATTGGCAATTATACCACATCTCCTTTTTTTATCAATAATTTATTATAAATAGGTATGCCATATGACGCCATTTTGTTGTTGGATTTCAATGACTTTCTTTTGAAACGTCATTTTCAAATAGGTTATTTAAGGATTTCCCTTTGAATTTCACCCTAAAAAATAAATCTTCAAAAACAGCAACCTTCAGAGTATCAATTTGTTCTTTTTCAGCGGTAAAAATAAAATTAAAAAATTTTCCGAACAGTTTAAAATTGCGCCGTCCGCATATGTTAACAATATTCGCGACGTCGTGTTCAACGTTTGAGGATTAGATACCGTTCTCTAGCAGTTTTGATGAGCCATCGATACTGGAGCCTCTAGACATTATAAAAGCTTGCTTTGGTATCCATTTATACATATTTTATGCTTTTCCATTACAACAAAACTTGAACCTGTCATAATCTTATACACTTATATATAGTTACAATCATAGTGATAAAGGTTTTATTCCAAGCAAAATAAGAACTCCATTAATAAAAACCAATTATTGACATCATAGTTTTCTAGAAAAAAGATCTTGTAACTTATTAATGCCATGTATATCAAACAGCATCAAATTCAGCTATGAGTCACTTAATTACTTCAAAATAAAAAGACAGAATCTACTCTTTGGTCACTGAATGAAGAATAAGCAAAACACCAGCCTACTCGCAACTGACTAACTTCATTTCCAAGTCTAATTCTATTATCAAAATCTCATGAAGAAATTGGAAGATTACAAAAGTTCTAAACCAATTTATTTTGGCCATTTTCCATTGATACATTTTTATTCATATAAGATTGTAATTGACAGTGGTCTTAAGTGGTAATCAATATCACAACTTCATCTGACCAAATACGTTCATGGACAAATGTAATATACATTGTTAAGCTATTATAACTTATGTTGAAAATGATATGGAAATTGTTACATCTAAAGCATTTGTCTTGTTCAGCCATCACCAGAGTGAGGACAAACTTTTATAACACTAAGATGCATAAAGTTCTAAAGGAGCAAAGAGGAACTAAATCGTGGCAGATCCAGTAGGGGCGTAGAGGGTATACACCCACCTTGATCGCCCCCAAAAATAATTATATCATGATTTGAATGATTTTTTATCATAAAATCGTCCAAAAAAGTAAATAAGTTTATAATCCGTTTTATGGAATTACTCCCCCTTTCAAAAATACTGGATCCACCCCTGCAAAAGAATCAATAGACAAAGAAATGTAACAGTAGTTTACCATAATTCAAAATCTCATAAATAGATTAAGAAGACAAATCAAGGTAACAAACATCCATCCATCACCTGCCATGTAAATTTACTCTCAGTCAAAATGTCACAATCAGGAATAGCTGGACACAATCTGTAAAATTACAGATAAGATAACTTTTCTGATATCTCATGATCTATAAGACTGTGAAAAACATCTCGCTAGTGAGTTGAGAAACAAACATATTGTATCGGTCAACCAATTCATAAAAGTGACATTCAAGCTTATGTAGTGTCCATTTCAGTCAATAACTCTGTTGGAGCAGTTTCAGTGTAAGGAGCACACCTCTGCTAATGAAATCTGTAAATTGTGAACATGCACAAGCATAAGATATCAAATGAAATACGTAAATGCCATACGATAGGGCAAAGAGTATATTACTGCTGAGAAAAGGTACTCGACTATATTGGAAAGTTGCAATCATCATGTTCGTCATAGATTCTAGTTTGAAATGTGTCAAATAGTTAAATGTAAACTTTAGGTTGAAACTTGAAAAACTCAAGACCACTTTCTTTTTGGCAATATCCCAAAAATGTTAACATTTTATTAAGGAATTCTTTATAAGCTAACCATGCATGTACTTTTAGTTGTAAATACTAGCACTTTGCCATTATGACAAATATCTTATTTCTCTGAATTTCATAACTTTTAATCTTAATTTTTACTAATTGTCTACTAGAATTCTCTTTCAAGGGGACACCAATGTATCAAATTTTAAAGCATGGTGAAATTGTATTGTATACAATTAAAACTAACAGCTAATGCAGTTACCAGAAAGAACATAAATTTTTATGACGACACATTTTCTGGAATTGTTTTAACAACGTACATTACATTTTCTATATTTTCAGTAGTCAATTAACAAACAAAAGACTGGAAATCTGTAAACTGTTGGAAAGACAAATTTCATGAACAAACAAACATAAAATTTGGTTCTTTGGATAAGAACTATATAATAATAAGGGGATGTGGTATGATTGCCAATGAGTCAACTATCTACCAGAGTTCAAATGACGAAGATATAAGCAATAAGGGGTTACCATACGGCCTTCAAGAATTAGAAAAATCCATATAGTA